ATGATATGATATGATATGATATGATATGATATGATATGATATGATATGATAGGATAGGATAGGATAGGATAGGATAGGATATGATATATGATATGATATGATATATGATATGATATATGATATGATATATGATATGATATACGATATGATATGATATGATATGATATGATATGATATGATATAACATGACATGACATGACATGACATGATATGATATGATATGATATGATATGATATGATATGATATGATATGATATGATATGATATGATATGATATGATATGATATGATATGATATTTTATTTGGAATGTACACAAACAAAAGTAAGGTAATGTCCAAAATAGCAACATACATTACTACAAGACTAAAACAGATCTAAAATACAGAAAACAAACAATGCAAAATCGGAAAGGATAAACTTGTCACAACAATTTCAATGAATAGATCATCAATACTTAATTTTTTTTTAAAAAGTGGCTGATGAATAAAGAGAGCTGAGAGAGATTTCCGTCTACATTCTTTGATAATGTTATATTGACAATGAAGTAGATAATGTTTTCATCTCCGATCTTGTTACAATCATGGATTTTACATCGTCTTTCCTCACTTTTAATCCCCGAATGTCTCATAGATTTAACTGGTAAGAAATGTGCCGATACTCAATTATCATTCCAATTTTTTTTGTATATAGAAGTCAAAAGTTCTTGGGGTGTCATTGTATTTTCGGATGATGTGAGGGGGGACACCCTGTTTTGTTTTTGTTTGTTTGAGGAGGGGGGGGGGTCTTTTCATACTTTTCCGAAATCAGATTCCCCGGCACCCCAGGCCAAAGTAAATGACCAGTCCCTAAAAGAGGGATGGAAAACTGCGGTATTTCCTGTGATCTATGTGAGTTGTAATCATTTTAATCCTGTTTATCTAACGGTTCACGCATTTCACGCAAAATTGTTGAATACTAGTACAAGCGGAGTTTCGAGGTAACATGAATAACGCTGCCAAGTGAAAGTGTCGATAGCGTCACTGTGGTGGCGCTTCTTTGTTGACAGTGTGACGTCACGCGGATGTGCTACAGTCGATAAGTAACTATGTAAAAGTAAATAAACAGTTATCCATTCCAAGATACATCGTACATCCCCTCCTCGGGATTCCTTTGATGTTTGCCGGCAGTTTCATACCTCTCTTCCAGAGGGTCTATGCTTCAGCCACCGTTGAGGGACGGTGATTCAGCACAGTCACTTGATAGAGGGATCGCCAGCCCCCCAGTGAAAAAAAAAGTTCATTTTAAAGAAAATATGCTCAAGTCATTCATAGATGACATAATCCCCGTCAATAATTCAGGCTTGTATTTGAAATCATGTGGATCAACTAGATATGGCTTAACAGTTGACAATAGTGGTAAACATTATAGCCACTGTTTATATTCAGTTCTTTCCTAACAAGCAGCCAGAAATAAATATCTGCTTCAAATAACGACATTACATAGTTTAACAATATTTTACCAGTAAAGTATATTTTGTTAATGTTTCGCATAAGTAATTTGTTGTACGTACATAAATGTCAAGATCAACAAATGCTAGTAGGTCAAAGATAAGGTTTAATGTAATAACGAAACAACGGGCACTCGTCGGTCAACAGTCGAACAAATTTACGGGCTTATGACCTCATACCAACTTTGAATCACATTGGCATGTTGGAGAGATGGGCAGACACGCACGACCGGAAGCCAACAAACTAGATAGTCCGAACGTAGGACTGACAATAAACGTCTATGGGTTGACCATTAGGGGGAGATGACAGATTTGTAAAAAAATATTTGCACAGGACAGAAAAAAATTCTGCAGGGATCAATAACAGAAAAGAATCTGTTCACATAAATCTTAGAAGAAAATTATTCCACATAATGTAACAAAAAAATTAAAGCAAATTCATCATGGGAACAAAAAAATAACCCAAAACTTAATGAAGGAAAACACATATTTTGCGCGTTTTCCTCCATCGCCTTCCCAGAGTTTCTAATGGGCACCGTGTATTCAACAGTTATTATTTAAGCATCTATTAGATTTATTGAAAACACTGGCCACAGTTTTTTTAAGCTTTCACAAACACTGACATGATTTCTAGTCATTTCTGTAAACCTTGTTTAATTCTGGAAAGTATCACTATGCCGTCAGTGTAGGCAGGCGAGTTATTCAAAACTGGAGAATCACAAATCTTGAGCTAAAGTTACGAGTTGTTTAGAAAAAGTCGGGATAACATAAAATTAATCTGCTCTGTTAAACCTAATTTAACTTTTATATCGTGACTTTACTAGACATATTTTTGATAATGTTACACATTTTTCATGGTAATACCAAACTCAAGTAATTTTCGATGTACACCAGCATGCCAAACTTGACTTTCGGAGGTCATTAAAACAGGCATATATGTATTTTTTAATCAGTCACTGAAAGTCTTTCTTCGCTGCAGTAAACAAATTTGGCTTTTCGTGCACTGCCCTCTAGTGGCTGTTATATTCCTACATTTGTTTTTCTTTAACATATTTGAAATCGCGCTTGCGATGTATCTGCGCCAATTTTCTGAAAAATTCTGTTTTAGTCATAAAGTAGACATGAGGTTTATAACTAAAATTTAAAGTTGTTTCAGAAAAGGGAACAAAGAGCGAAGCATTGTCAACTACCTGGGGTATATTTAATTAAAAACCCAAGGATGGGGAAGGGTACAGATGTTAGTGAACCCCATTATGATTAAAACAATTTTGTTTGTTTTTATTTGACCCTGTGATATTTATTTGCAGCATCCCTGTTACAACTTAGGCTCAATAATTTTAAAAATTAGAAGTTATACTTGCATTGGGAATCCCAGTCCGTGAATAAAATTGTTATTAAGTGTAGGGTTATCTCTGAAACACTCCTGAATTTACAGCTGTATTGTATTGTATTGTTATGAATATCTTGACATATGAAATTATATGTGCCTGAAATCCAATGTAACAGCTCTGAGGACTCCAACGATCGTACCACCCCCTTCATGAAAGTCCACATTGTTTTGTTGGAAAAGGTTTGACCTCAAATGGTCTACAAAACTTAATTGCTTCCTTGATGTTTTGAGACTCTTGAAGGCATCGTTCTCTTTGTATAATTTACTAACTGTGGCAAAGACGAATAGAAAAATATGTTTGGTTCTGCATATACCAATCACATAGTGGAGGAGCTCTGATATAATTGAACTGAGCTTGGTAGAAAGTTTTTGAGCATAAAGTCTCTGTAGCTCAGATGGAAAACCCATGTGACAATCCTAACTTGGGAATATGCATGAATGCATGGAGATGAAAAGCCTGAACATTTGGAGCATCATCAACACTTACACATTCTCACACTCAGAGAACTGTCATCCAACAGCATGATGACAATGACAGTTCTGGCTGAGTTAGGGTTATACCCCAATATTGGTGTCACTACTTGTGGACCTTCTAAGGGCGCTGCATCACAAAATGGAGTAGCTGAGTCTCACAGGGGTACATGCGCAAGCTGTTCAACATGGAATGGGTGTCACATACACCACACTCTTGGTGTTCAGTGAAGTGGCAAACAGATAGATGCTTGGCTCCTGGCAAAAAGACGACTAAAGAATTTCATTAGGGGTACCTACAAGTCACTTTTCCTCAGTTGGTAGTGGGCGATTGTATGGCCCCCAAGTGACCAGAGTATAAAGAAATACTATATACATGTACTTACTTGCCAGGAAAGCAATAAAAAACAAGTTTATGTACAAAAGCAAAATAGTAAAATAAGGTGCCACAATTTATTCAGAGTTTTGAACAATTAAATGAACAGGCCAATCCCAGGGGAAAAAGATACAAATCAAGAAACTACACTCTGAAGCAAATACGACTAATTTCCAAATGATAGCTTCTATAACAATCCTAATAAAAGCCCAACCATAAATTTAGTCACACAACTGTACATGGACCATAAATTTAGTGACTTATCCCAGAAATTAGATGTACAGGGGTGAAAGTCTTCTTCACTACTGCTAGAGGGCATATGAGCCAGATCAATATTTTCCAATTTTTACATTTTATGAAATTTATTCAATATATTCCACAATTTATCTCATTTGTTTAAGAATACAGTTTTATTTCCTAAATATTGAAACTACTGCGAGGATTATATAATTATCAGAAATCCTGCAACTGAGCAAAATTCACTCACAAAAAATGTTAAAAAATTAGTTCTACTTTCAAAACAATAAAGTTGTTGGAATAATTAATATTCAGATAATCAATGTGGAGCGGTTAGTAGGCAGCGTACAAAAATGTTTTTATCGTTGTTTATTCATCGTCAATTGAATATTCACCCTCCATGATGTTGGATTGTATTGGTTTAAGATATTAAACCATAAACATATTTTAGTGTGGGAATTTGTTCAAAGCTGTCTCCGCATTTGTTGAGATCAGTTTTACATTATTTGTATATATTTGTTCATTTTTGTTAATCAACTCTAAAAGTCTGAAACTGCACCAGAAAATCAGATCATACAATCGCCAATTAATAAAATGCTTAAGCAGCAAAATTTTTTTTGACTGAAAAAAAACATTCATATCATAAACCATTGCCTCTGACAAAAATGGTAGTGTGGTTGTGCATCTGGAGCAGAAATCTGCAAGACATACAATCAAATTCACATTATTTTCTGCAAAAAAAAAAAGACAAGATTACAGGCAGTAAAATTTATTGGTCTTCATTTATCTTTGTTGATGTTGAGAAACAACAAAATTTATTCATTTTAAAAACAAATTACAGATTTCCTTCATTAAAAGAATGAGCCAGTGCTAGATAGTGAAATGTCTACCACATCAGTATGTCAAATAAACACCTCCCACACTGGTACATTCTTTGACTGAGTACTGGTAAATCATAAGTGCATCGGCCGTTCAATGTATGATCACCTTTCAAATCACTTGTACCAATTACTGTGAAATACTTTATTTTAGCTGGAATTAATTTTCGCTGAAAAGGCATTTTGGGTGTTTTGTATAGAATTTATTTTCACTGATTTTTGATGAGTTTAATGTGAAATATAGGTAAAAAAGTATATTCGCTGGATTCTATTTTCACGAAATCATCCCTCCAGCGAAAATAAATTCCAAGCGAAAATAAAGTATTCTACAGTATACAGCATATATTGCAATAATTAATTAATTTACATGCAAAATTAGATAATTTATGTATTTGACTGCCTGCTTAAAAGGTTAAATAAATTTGAATATTTTGTGTACTGGTATACCAGTGTAGTATTACAGTTTATGTCTACCGTTATCTGATTGGAACTGATTGGATGATACCATCTCACACTTACACTGAGGAGTACATAGAATATAACGGAACATGCATTTTCTTTTCAGTTATGATGCAAAAGTTTTAAAAAAGTAATATGCGATTATCTTGTTCATTGCCAGAGGTAATTAGAGAGTTACCTGTTCCAAGACTAAACTATCTTCTCTCTAAATGAGTTGTTTTTCACTGCCCACATAATTAATAGCCAAATGGTGCATCCTCATAAAAACGCTTTGATCAAACCACTTCCAATCAGATAACAATCTCCAGGCATGTATAGACAACCAGTCACCATGTTAGCTTCTGATGTTGGTGTATATAACAATATTACCGTAGAAAAGGAGGATGTACTTGTTTTATGTTTTTTTTTTTATATGACCACAGTAACTGGTTGGCTTAATTCACTCCTGCTGTTATTCCACATACAATACATGTATAGTATTTCCTTTATTAGAATCGCATGTAAAGAACAGAGGCGAATAGTCAAAATAAGACTTATTATTATTATTTAGGATTTGTTTTGCTTTAACATCTGTGGAGCCTTTAATTAAGATGGTGACGTGCTTGAAGATTCACTTTTAATAGAGCAAATATGGTATTTGTCTTAGTTAATAAAAAAACACACATCAGGGCAACATTGTTACAATAGATCATGATCATAACACTCCGTTAGAATGCCTTAGATGTATTAATAGATCAGGGTGAGATTGGAATACAGGAAAACTTTACAAAAACATTTTATTAAAGAAATACTTCTAATAAAGGAAATAAGTGATTATTACTTTTAGTTAACCAGCACAAGGAATGAAACTAAATGTGTTTCAATTAAAAATTTTCATACTATAAAAACATAAAATGTTGCCATGCTGGTTGTGTGGGAGTTGTTTACATACCGGTATATCACAATGCAACTGTTGGACACACGTGACAAAGATAGAGACTTCCATGTTGTTCATAGATGTGCATACAAAAGATTACCGATATATTCAAGTTAGAAGCAAGTTAATAGTCAGTTTATAAACAACGAGACATGTCAGTCACCATCCAGGTGGGCAGAAAGTTGAAAATTAAATTTAATCAGCCTTTCCCAAAGTACTTTTCACAATCAAATACATGAGCTGATTACCAGAAATATATTGATACAATTTTGTCAACAGAATGTTGTTTTAGGAAATCTGTGGGTTAATTCCTATACATGTATGCTGAAACTATGAATTACACAACTTTTCAAAAAACATTTTAAAATAATTTCAAAGGAGGCACTGGCATTTGACATGGACACTTCACTTACTGGTGGTATTGAACAGGCATGTAGTTTCCATCTACCTGTAACAACACTATCGTTTTAGTCAAAACCCTACCAAAAGTTACTGACATAACCAAATCTAGGTTAATTTAGCTCAAACTCTCAAAATTCATAGTCTAAATAATCATCATCATCATCATCCAGATATAGATATTGTTCCCCTTATGTGTGTTTACTGTAATTTTAACACCAGCCAGCTGGGGGAAATTCAAACATCTCCTGACAGTTTCAATAAAATTCATTTGTATTTTAAATAAGAACTTCCAATCATACATTGAAGCATACCTTGGGAAATATAATTACATCGCATACTACATGTATAATCCTTAATATCTATATTTACAACAATAAATGCCAAGACGTAAACCATTTTTGTAAAACGACTTTCCTATGCTAGCTCTGTATACGGCCTCATATCACATACTGTTTATTCTGAATGCTTAACTATGACACTGTCTGTCATTAAGGCTTCTAGACTTAAATATATATAAGAATAGCAAAACAGCACCTCATATTGATAGTGATAGAGTTCATATACAACATTTCAGCACCATGAAATGAAAACATTTTTCTCCCCTGCGTTTTAATCATATTAAACATGTGATGCAAACACACGTGTTCACTTTAGACCTGGATTTGAAAGAGAAAGTACCTTCACAAGGAATACATTCTGAAGGATACACCCATCATCCTGTTTTATGAGCAGAAATACAGTCGGAATTGCTGCTTTGATCCAACTTGTAGTAAAATAGGACACCCATTCAAAGTTTAGATTGTCAGAGCAATACACCATCTAGGCCAGAACACTCTTGAGTTAGGCAAAGTAAAAAAGGGTTTAAGTATAAAGCAAATTAAATCACACAGACATTAGGATGCTCATGCGAGCTGTTGCCCGTAGCAATGTACTGCCCCACTGCTGTCCTAACAATGCAAGTTAGAATAAAAGAAAATACAATATTACATGGCTTTAATCCTATAGCATATTGCTAGAACTGATTTGTTACTTATCCACTGCGAATAATTGACCCCCATAGAATACAATGGAGATTAGTCAAATGCACAGCAATGCTAATAGTAAAATGTTAGAAAATGTGTCTGCATCTACTGGGTCTGTTCTCTAAAAACTAGATCTGATTCCAACTTAATAGATGTTTCTCATTTCATTGTAATTTCGTCATCAATCGCAAAGCGTTACAGCAATGTCGTCTACACAATGCATACCGTTATAGACCATATAGGAGTGACTCGTTGGTCTCAACTTGGATTAATGATGTCTTGTGTGTTACAAGACACAATCAACCATTCTCTAGGTTGGTCTGTACATACAGCTATTCATCCATCTTTGATAAGCTCCTTCACAGAGCAAAAACTGCATCTTTTCACGTATTGCGCTGTTGTTGTTGCTGATGTTGTAGCAGTTGCTCCAATGGAGTTGGTCCTGATGATGATGGAGGGCTGGACCAGATCGACTGCAATAGAGAATTATACAAACATATATTACTGTCATTTATGCTACATTGAAAACCAATCAATAAACTGTATTAACCTAAAATCAAAGCAAATATCCATATAATGTCACAACATGACACAGTTCTCACTGTAAATAAGTAAACAAAGTAAACTAGTAAACAAAACTATAAACCAATGCACCAGTCGGCCATTTTGAATGTAATCTGAAAAACAAAATCACTTGCATCAAGGTCCAATGATGTTGACTGCATGTACTAAGTTTTAATGATAGATGTATGTGTATAACCGAGATCAGGTTCAGGAATGGCAGAAATGCCCGATTTTGATGATTTTTTTAACATCAACCTTTTCACCACCAGTTCCCTCTTTTCATTACAAAATAGTCCTATTTATAGTCTGCACTTTCCCCTTCAGAAGATTATTGGGACAAAAATAGCTAAATCTTTTGAGTAAAAAACTTAAAATTTACTCAAATTTTGTCTGTTGGGTCCAAAATTAATGTTTATTTCCAGAATTAATGAAAAATATATAAGAAACAAGCAGCCTGTCGGCTGAGATAGCTCCGCTGTTAGCAATGCACATGACAATTAAAGAACAGAAGATATCATTAGAAAATGAACAAATCTGAGAGAGGTCCACATGTAGTATCTATATGTATAATATATCAAAGCAATTGGACTTGTGGTTTTTAACAAGAAGTCAAAAATATCACTTTTTACCAAAAATTACAAAAATATTCATCAAAATTAGAGAATTAAAGATATCATCATGAAATGAACAAATCTGCGAGAGGTCCACATGTAGTACCTATATATGTAATATCAAAGCAATTGGACTTGCAATTTTTAACAAGAAGTCAAAAATATCACTTTTTACCAAAAATGAAAAAAATAGTCACCAAAATTAGAGAATTAAAGATATCATTACAAAATGAACAAATCTGAGAGAGGTCCACATTTAGTACCTATATACGTAATATCAAAGCAATTGGACTTGCGATTTTTAACAAGAAGTCAAAAATATCACTTTTTACCAAAAATGACAAAAATATTCACCAAAATTAGAGAATTGAAGATATGATCATGAAATGAACAAATCTGAGAGAGGTCTACCCAAGGTACATATACACCAAGTATCAAAGCATTCAGGCTCGTAGTTTTCAAGAAGAAGTCGAAAAAGTAAAACATTGACACGGACGACGGACAATCACTCATATGATAAGCTCCTCTCGACAAAGTCGACAGCGGAGCTAACAAAAAATGGCAAAATTAAAAGTAAATAGCTACCAGGGGTACTTCTGTATTTGTTTTTTTTAAACCTCACATTTAAATAGCATGTATGTTGACAAGCAAAATTTTGTTCAACTAGCTGTATAGTAACCACTCACCTGAATATTACTTGGTAATAAGCTACTTGTAGGTGAGCTAGATAGAGATGGTCTGTTAGGAGAACCCCAAGCACCAGCATCTGAACTCCAACCAAGCCCTAGATTGCTGCCACCAAAACTGTCTGGCAAGGGAGAATGACGTGGTGATGTATGAGAACTAGCTGATCTACTGGAGAAGGGTGACGATATCAAGTTCAGACCTAAATACAAGTAAATATACACAATGAGTTTAACGAGTATTCTTGAAGTAGGGCTCAAATTCAGAACATGGAAACAAAAAATTAAAGATGACCCACATGCAAGTCTACAAGACAGTAAAACACACAATTTGGAAACAGTAAAATTTCACAATTACAATCAATATATTGGCCTCCAAACTGGGTGCACTCCAAATACCAAATTTCAAGCTATGGTACAGAGTTGCAATTTCTTGTGACTTTAATAAAGAAGTACATGTAAACCAAATATATATGCATGGTACTGGCTGCTGCACCGTGACGTCATTTGTTTACGTATTTGCCAACTGGCATGTAAATGTCTGTTAACAAATGTTGCTCATTGATCGACACTAGCTTGCTGTAAGTTGTTATAAACAAGAAAACGTACATGTACATTTAATAACTTTAACAGCGAATGATGCCGTTATTTATCTTCAGATGCAAATAAATAGTTCTTGTAAAACCAGAAACAAATTAAAAAGGGTACCGACAGTTTATAATCTGAATTGTGTAGAAGTCACTTCAAATGCTATCCATCTAGTTGAAAACCTAGGTTGGAATGAAAAGTAAAAAATATGATGACAGTGCTTACAGTCAGTTTCACTGGCTGTCCATGGTGAATTAAACAATGAAAACGCACTGCCTTTGGGGTTCTCACTTCCACTGTCAGAAGCTGTAGGAAACAGACTTGAACTGCAACAGACAAAAAAATTGTCAATTCTTGTTATTCTACATGTATTTCAGTAAAGAGAATCTCATGACAGTTAATTTTTTTAATTTTTAATTAAATGTTCACAGCGACACATACCTGGATGGATCTTGGTACACAGGGAAATTTGATGACTCTTCTGAAATTCCAGGATAACCTACTCTGGTTGGTCTAGTAATAACAGTCGGTGCTGGAGGCTCCTGAATAAAGTAAGAGATGACAAAAGTGTGTCTCACAATAAGTCACATCTGGACTACCAGTAATAGAAATAAAGATACTCGTGTTTTACTGAATTACAAGTACATATATTAAATTTTAAATTGTGTCCAAACTCTAAAATTCAACAATCCCATCAGAAAGCATTGTCCATTGTCCAACCCAAGTAATCTGGCAAGTGGATTTTAATAGGACAAGTAAACTAGGTTCCACAAGCACTTCAGATGATCCTGCCAGAAAATTTGAGCTAGCAAAATGATGGCAAATTACACTTATACCGGTAGTCAATGGAAGATAGATTTTTGAATGCTGGGTTGGCAAACTTACTGTGGCTTTGAATGGGAAATACCAGGTAGAACACTGGTACTGAATTGTTTACATCAACTCATCCACGGTTTACACCTTTCTCTACCTTAAAATACTCACCACAAATTTGGGGAATGGCATATCATCATCATTTTCTGTGAATTTCAAGTCTTGTTCCAACTGATTGAAGTCCAACATGTTTTCATCGCTTGACTCTCTAGGTAGATTAAAAGTATGGGGCTGGAAGCTTGCAATCAGAGCTTGATTAGTTTGAATCATGGCTTCCAGTTCTTGTAGTGTTGTGGGATGAGAGCTGTGGTTTTGGTTTCCTAGACCCATATGATTAGCGTATTGCATTTGGTTATCTGTTGGCATATCCCCTTGTCCAGCCTGGTAGCTAGGAAATTGCTGACCCCTCTGCTCAGACATCTGGTCAACTCTTTGCGACATCAGCTGTTCTCTCATCTGATGCAGCATTTGTTGGGATCCTTGCTGTTGTTGCTGTGATTGGAACTGCTGCTGTGGTTGAAATTGAGTATTAAATGGTTGCTGTTGTTGGGGAAACTGCTGTTGCTGCGATTGTTGTTGCTGCTGCTGCTGAAACTGTTTCTGTTGTTGTAACTGCAATTGTTGCATTTGCTGCTTCTGCGGATGTTGTTGCTGTTGTTGCTGCTGCTGCTGCTGCATCTGACTCTGCATTCCAGGTATATTTTGTCCAACCATTGGAGCAACAAACGGACCTGCCTGTTGCTGAGATTGATGTTGATTCTGCTGTAGACTTTGTATATATGCAGACCTCTGAATCTGAGTTAAAGGCTGTCCTAGCATAGGATGTTGAACATTAGGTGCTGTGAATCCTTGATGTTGCATCTGCATCAACTGCAATTGTGATAGCTGTACCTGACTCGCTGGTGCCGACTGTGCTTGGTCATACTGTTGCCCTGTCATTTGCTTTGACTGAGCTGTCACCTGCCTTTTGCCAATTGTTGGTGATTGCTTCGGACTTTGTCCTTGAACATATCCAGGTATAGTGGTTTTGTCTTCTCCTCTATGCCTGTTTTTCTGGCTGCTTCTTCCAGAGTCCTGGTTACGCTTTGGTGATTTCTGCATATCTTTTTTGACCTCTATGATTTTAACACAATGTTTATCCAAGTCTTTGTTTGGCATAGCCTAAAAATATACGGTAACACAGAGAGATAAGTACAGTTTAACATTGAATTTTTGTCAAGATATGTGCATTGATCATGTTCTATATCACCAAAAAATAGACTAAGACTTGACTACATGTGCAAATAAAAGGTAACATTCAGAGCTGGGAAAAAAAAATGGTGAAGCAGAGCAAGAATCCAATTATCTAAACTTTGATGATTTTTTTTTAATTGGAAAAATGATAGTTCTTGAAAATAAAAATAAACTTATCAGAAATATCTTCCAACAAAGGATAATACCGTACTTATCCGGGAAAGGGCCCATGCCTGGACAAACGCGCACCCCCCACTTTTGACACAATAAACAAGTTGAGGTCATATTCGGGCTCACGCCAAGGAGGTCTTTTTCTACACAAAAAAAAAAAAATATTTTCTATTCATTGACTGTGGTTGTATTAACAGTTGACTTTCTTGAAGTCTGTTGTGATACTTAAAAAAATTGTTAATTGCGTAAAACAAGGGGTGAATGCAAAATAGCTGTGACAGCTTTCTGCCTTCAGGGCAGCGCGTTCTGAATCATAACAGTCAGCAAGTCTATAAAAATATATATTAAAGCAGAAACGGTAGTTGTCATTTTGAAATATGTCGTGGCCCTAAAAATGGCTGGCTGTTTGGTTTGTGCTTCCTTAGAAACGATTTAGGCAAACCGCACAAGGAGAGTTGCTAAGCAAGTGTCGCACTCGTTCGGCTTTAGCGCTGTCCGCAATGAAACCAATGTTGCAATATTGTAGCAACCCGTACCTGGGAGAATGGTTGAAATCCTGTTATTTTGGCTTTATAAAATATTTTGTAGCAGCTTGCGAACCCATAACTGGGGTCAGCAATTTTGAAATGTCACACCGAAGACTGCCAACTTTTTTACCATCTTTCATCACCGTCATGAAAACTATTCTTCTGTCGTTGGATAAAAAAAAAACTTCCTATTTCAAGTCCACCGCGATATCCATATACTTAGTGAGACATTCCAACCACCGTAACTTGCTGAACGATAACTTTCACCGTGATTAATAAGCGTTGAGTCTGATAAAAAAAGCAATGTCACGATTTGACCTTTATGATGAAATACTAGTAGTGATGTCACTCTTAGCCAATCAGTAAAGCAGATGCATAAAGGTCAAAGATGGTTGCTAGACTGTAAACAAAAGCATCGTGTGCCATCTCTTTATTATGATTAGACATGAATGGAAAGTGCCAAGCTGACAGATTGCGAAATCCGTGGATTAAAAGTGCTAAGTCCAAATTGTGTGGGACGATATCGACGAACTTCAGGAATAAGTTGTAGAGAATCTGTCGGCTACAGTGACGCCGACTTGGACTTTGAGTGTTTTGAGTTTGACGAAGATGGCAATGAACGTACAAATAAAGACCTGAGATGTTTTTTCAAACAGCTATGAATTTTTACTGTGTAAATTTGTAAATTATTATTGAATTTGTATGACGGTTGATTCGTAATTTGTCGAGACCGAAAATCATTTTACGCAGTTTAACCCCTGACATTTTAATTCATTTTGAGTTCACGCCGCGGCGTATTGGGCGTGTTTGTCAGCGGGAAAATCCTAATTCAAATGATTCCTCACTGTCGATTTTTATTATTTCTGGTTTATTTGTCACATTATAAGCAATACATTATTTTTGTTCTACTTCTAGTGTTGCATATTGTTCATTTATTTTCGTTGCATGTTTCATTTGCCATTCTATTCCCTGTTGCAGTTCGAACTGCGTGTTGTCAATTTGTTGTCGTTTTTTGCCGGGGATCCTGGCAAACGCCCACCCCTTCTTTTTTGCAATTTTCCATGTTCAAGACCCTGGGCTTATACCCGGATAAATACGATAAATCTATAATGCTACTTACCTGTACAGCAACACTTTGCGTCTTGGTATTCAAGTTAATTTCAACTTTTCTCTCAGGTGATTGTTGAGAATTCTGTTGCAGACTTTCAGCAATTTTAGGAGCGGCTTTTATAGTTGTTATATTTTCTGTCCTTTTTGGTTCAGCAATTGGCTTTACAGCATTTAGTTCCGTTTTCTGCTTGACAGGGTTGGTTTCGTTCCATTGTTTTACAGAAATGTCCTTTGATTTTACTGGGACTGGTTCATTCTTCTGTTTTGCAGAGACAGGTTTGTTCAACTGTTGTTTTAGTGGCACTGTGTGTAGTAGTTCTTGTTTCTTCTCTTCATGGTGTACAGCACTATTGAATTTTATTTTGGTTGCATTCGGCCTTTTTTCAACTTTCATGACACTAATAAAAAGTAAAAATTTGAAAATGTTCGTTTGTTAAGTGAGGGTTATATTATAATAGAGAAAGAAGACTACAGACTTGTTGACTATCTAAATATTCACAATTTGGGAACAGCTTTTGCATTAAAATTGAGGCTGTATTATATTTTAAGTCAACCGCTGTTCTACAGCCAACATATAACATGTTGAAAATTTGTTACTGTAAAATACTTTATTTTAGCTGGAATTAATTTTTGCTAAAAAGACTTTTTGTGTGTTATGTATAATATTTATTTTCACTGATTTTTGACAAGTTGAATGTAAAATATAGGAAAAAAGGTATATTCGCTGGATTTTATTTTTACTGAATCATTACTTCGGCGAAAAAAACGAAAATTAATTCCAAGCGAAACTAAAGTATTTTACACTACATGTGAATCAGATGAATCAGTTTCAAATATTTCTAGCAATAGTTCTGTTTGATTGAACTAAAATGCATTATAAGGAAATCATAGTGTCCCATCTTTGCAAAACTCGCAAAATAATGAAAAAAGAAATTATTCATGTATTCATACTGGTGAGTGACACATGCTCAGAACATCAGAACATGTTGATAAACTTTTATTTTTTAATTTTACTGTCAAATCATGTGTATATGCTATTCAAATTCAGCCTCTACGGTAGTATTACCTTAATAAGACTGACAAAAATAAGATTACACAAAGATAGGCACTGATCATCGTCATCATACAGCAATTATGTTTATAAACTTACCATGGAACGTTATCATTGAGCCACTTGGCATCTCCAATCAATCTCTCTATTCTCAATTTGTTTTGTATTTCTTCACCTATTTTCATCTTACGACCTTTGTTGAAATCTAGAGAACTGCAAATGACAAGAAAAGTTGTTAATAACTAAAGCATGGTAGCCAAGTCAGAGCCCTGCGATAGCAACTCTTAGCCTATTTGGCTTAGGATCCAGTATGATTCTGAAATTTATTTTTCTGTTTTAGACATGAATGGAATGCATAATATATTCAAAATAAGACAAATGAGACAATCAGAGTGTAGTTCAAAACCATTCTTGAAAATTGTGGCTCTTCACAACTGTCTCTAAAACAATCACAGATTATGACAATATCTCATGTGAACTATATTTTGGCAGACAGTAACAAAGTCAACAGGGATAGCAGATTATACATCTGTCACCGTAACGCCATAAGTTACAGCGTGCCGTAATTTTGTGGTATATTACAGGGTATTTTCATCCTATCATATAAGGAAATGCTAATTACAAATATGGAATGATTATGCGCGTAAGCGTCCTCTATTAATAAAAACAAACATGGCTGCCACCAGGGTTTGACCAAACTCCACACAAAGAAGTTCGCTGATTCTGTTCTAAACTTTTTGGATTTCGACACTCCCATGATGTATCCTTGGAAGGAAAAGTTGTATAATAAGGTGATTACGAGGATACCTCAAAGTGTGCATTTAGACAGTACGTCATCGCATCAACCTATGCTGCACGTCAGTCGATACTCTCATCTTCATGCATACTTTGAGGTATCCTCGTAATAACCTCACATTATGCCAGATATACTGTTAGATATTTTAGAAATGCATCTCTAGTCAAAAAGCATGCAAGCTGAATCAAAGGAAACTTAGAAATAACTCCCAATAACAGTTACATACCGCATTTAGCGCCCAGGGTACTCAAAAACATTTTTTTAAGGTAGGCGAGCACCCCATTTGAAAAATTGTAATAATAAAATTGTGAAATGAGTTGCAAAAATACCACATTTTATTTCAATTTGTTGCAAATCTCGAGGATGGTTCTTGCCTCAACAAAGACCTTCTCATTCTAAAGTATATCAACCCATAGCCTTGCATAATTTATCTATACTACTGTGGAATACTTTATTTTAGCTGGAATAAATTTTCGCTGAAAAGGCTTTTTAGGCGTTTTGTATGGAATTTATTTTCACTGATTTTTGATGAGTTTAATGTGAAATATAGGAAAAAAAGTATATTCGCTGGATTTTATTTTCACAGAATCATCCTTTCAGCGAAAATAAAGTATTCTACAGTATTCTACTTTGTGTTTTGTTTTTTTAATCGCATTAAAAAACGATACTGAACTGCAAATACAGTACCGGTACATGTATATTAGCCAGTTCAAGGACATGAGTAAACCAGCACACATCTTAGAGATACAACTCTGGTTGATTATTGAGTCATTTGGTTGTTCTAGATTGATCAAGTTACAAAGAAATGACAGCAACTCATCACCTGTGTGGTCTACTCAGTGGAACAAATCCCTGCAGATTGAAGTCCTCTTCTACAGGAACATTTTCAAAACTTCGATCTACTCTATCACGGAACTGGATAACATTCAGAATCTTGGCAAGCTTGGGCCATATGCTGTGGATAATGCAATATTTGGATGTTATAGTGAAAAGGTGTCATATTGTGTTGTATTTAGGAAAAACACTTGTACATTTATGATATGTTTTAGCACATATTTCATGTCAAAATCTATACCTTATTTTGTTCTATTAGTTGAACATGTGCTAATTTAAAGTAAATGAGATAAATGTATCTTTAGTCAAAATAAGTCAATTTTATAGACCCATAAAGAAAACTGTCATACAATATGCATAATATGCATGTACACATTTCATTAATTTTGTAATACTTCTAGACAAAACAAGTGCATTGTATTTGTAAGACACTATGTCAATTTTTAACAAATTTTTTAGATATTGAGAAAAGAATGATAAAATTCCCTAAAACAGATAAAAGATGCATTTTGACTCCATTTTAGATTTTGATTGCCTCTGAACTGAGTACAGTGGCCACATAGTTTTATTTCATTTTCTTCATCCTTGTAATTTCGAATAGGTAAAAATAAAGTTAATGAAATTATTTTTTACATGTCATGGAGCATTTTTAAAATAATAATTATCGGTGATTACAAGCAAAGCAAATAAACTTTTACTCACTATGATTTTTCAGCTATGATGGGATCCGTGAAAATACCAGCTTGATTTATCAACCAATCAACAATGAGTTTGACAGCTGGAAGATTTATGTGCTCCCTGGCTTTCTGTTCTGATTTAGATGGCATAAAATGAAGTAAAAGACTCAAAAGAGACACTGTGGAAGAGAAAATATACAGTTTTCAATTTATTTCTAAATACTGTAACGGGGTTAATTATTCAATGGGTTTTAATTTTGCTTATTTCGCTGACTGGAAAATGCGCTAAATTAAAACCCAGTGAATATGTAAAATTTAGCATAGAACACATTATTTAAATGATAAATCTGTGAATTTAAAACCTACTTAATATGCCTGAAGTGGTGAATCAGTGAAATTTAAACCCAGTTCCAAAATGGAAGTCTGTCCATCTGTTCCAGACAAGTAGATTGTAATTTCAATCCTTGCTTGATGGTGAACATGCGACTAACAAGGGCTAGTCACACCACCACCTTCTTCTTCTAATAATAAATTAATATAATAATGTAATCTTACTGTTAAAACTGAAGACCTGATTCCAGGAGAGATCTTCATCACCACTGTAGCACAACTGTTTACCATCTCCACTGCCAGCATCCCCGTTTTCCCCTTGTAAGTGATCATATGGATTCTTAATATGGTGCAGAGCAAATAAATTAATAACCACAATCTGTATTAGTTGCTGCGAAGTAAAACTTTCTTGATTTATATGCATTCTGAAGTGTTCCACTAGTTTGTCTTTCATGTTGACTGCTCTTTGTAAATCTACAAGTGAACAAAATCATGCAACATCTCATTAATATCAAAATCAAGATCTGCAATATGTGTGCAGAACATGTACGCTAATTTTTACAAAAGTGTTGTAATACGTTGATCACCAACAATGTCATTGTGTGAAACAAAATGCAGTTTTATTTTAACCCAAGCAAAATATTTTAAAATCATCAAATAAATATGATTGTCGACTTGGACCACATTACCAAGAATATAACTTACCTGTACCAAGATAAATTAATGCATGAAACTGTACAAAAAAAAATACAAGTTCTACAGGGGTTATTTTATGTGTCTTCAATTCATCCCTACAAAAAAAAAACAATACTACATTTTATCACATGAGCATGGTACACCTGAAATAAAATTTCAGAACTTTCCAGAATTTTGTTATCAGTTCTTCAGTTTTCAAGAACTACTAAATCACAACTTTGGTAATTTTTTCAGGGGTTAAACCACTTTGCAACAGTGATGAGTTTTTATGCTGATCATCCAAACAATTCAACATTTTAATGGTGATTTCTGTAGACCTCTTTGCAATAAAAGATTTTTATGATGATTAAATCATTTTCCAAAACTTTCCAGAACTTAAAGGCATTATTCCAGGACACCTTTTAAATTCAAGAACGTTCCAGCATATTTCTGGCCAGTATGCAAAGAAAATCAAATTGTGCGGCAAAAGCGTTTTTATCACTGCCATATCAGAATTTCAGACTGGATAACTCACATGGTTCAATTACATTAACTCATAATACCGAAAACTGAAAGATTATTATGAAAAAAATATTGCTTAGACAGGTAATATTTCTGTCAATTTTGACAAGCACTGATGGCTACACACTTAACTTGCATGAAGTTGGTCATGCAATAAAAAGGTTATCACCTGATATCACTTATTCATAGAGCTGGTGACATCATGAGCTGTATTATTCATATTCAATTTATATGTATACATTTGCAGATTCATTTATTAACCCTATTGTAAGTTCTTTGTACATTTACATAGACTTGACCACATACATTGTAAGAATTAAATTTTATTCATTTACTTACATGCCTGATAAATAGCTATTCAGACACTGATCAGATACACACATACATGCATACAAATATGATTTATTAATAGTGTGTAAACAAGGGAGATGTGACATGTGTAATGTAATTTTGTAATGATCCAGCATACAACAAAAGAACCTTTTGGGCTTAAATGCCCTTCCATTGGAAATGCTCTTGTAACAGAGCAAATATTGTACAGAGTCAAAAATGACAAATAATGAAGGTATTGTAGCATGAGATTTTAGGATAACCTGTGTGCTGCTACATTTAGCCACTTAATAATACATGCATTTTTTGAACCATAACTCGGCATAAAATATCTATACATACTCACTTGTCAATCATTTTAGAGAATGCCATCTGTAGATTGGTGACTGCTGCTGGGAATGGATGCTTGACTGAAATACTACGAACATAATAAAACACGGTGGCCAGCTGATCACCTTTACCTGCTGCCAGTATAGCTAGCTGATTATATGGTTGTCCGTTGCTTGGCACTAACTGAGCTGCATGCTGGTAGTAGGTATGGGCCTGGGCATTCTGATTTCTGTAACGTGCTGAAATATCAAAAATATTTATAAATCTTACAAATCATGAACATAATTACCGTACTCGTTCGCGTTAGCGCCCATGCCCCCCGGTCAAGCGCCCACCCCTTCAAAATGCCAAAAATTTAAAACTTGGTCTTTGATCATTGCTTATTGAATACTGGTAATCGTTTTTGTGTCATGATACAGCGTGGATATCGACTGCCGTGTATGTTGTGAATGGGTAGACTACAATAACCGTGCATAATCTACGCTTCGACAATGACCTGTTAATAAAAGTAAAATGCATAAATATTTCATGCCGTATTCAGTTTACCGATAAACATTGCTAGTTACC